CTCACACTTATCCTTCCACTAAGCTTGCCATACAGCCAAAAAGGAGCCCTGCTTGGAGGGAGAGAGCAATATTAAAGCTAGGCTGAGTTCCCAGTAGAGCTGTATCCTGTTTACCATTGCAAAAAAGGCATATAGGAATTCACAACAACTAATGTGTATTTACTTTTCAACATTTCCCGTTAATGGTTCAGGCTACATTATAAAGGCTTAAAATAACTACTACACAGAACTCAGCATTGGGAATTGCTGCTGAAGAGAAGCATGCATTTTCTTGTAGATATTTATAGCTCGCTCTGCTTCTACAACGAGCAATTTGGAGGGGTAAGGCAGTCAACATTTTATTTCCATTCAGAAATTATGCAGTGATTTATGCCTGTTAAACTCTCCATGGTTAAATGTCTCATGACTCACTTTCTAGTAATTCCTTTTATTAAACTCATCTTACTGATGAGCTGAAGCTTGATAATAGCCACAGAAAGAACAGCACGGCAGTTTTATTAAAAAATGTGGCTATTTTGTTATCTGCTTTTCAACAATTATTAGCCTTTACATTGTGTATCATATTAAAAGCTGTGATATCTTTCTGTCCTAGTGATAGAAATTTGAAGTAAAATAAAAAATGATTACTTGAAGTGTAAAAGAACTCGGAAAGTTGCTTTTAAGTACAGGCAATGATGTGAATTCTCTGCAGCTGTATGACTGGACACATTTTACAGATGAATTCTCATGCAGCTAAAAGGTGTTAACTTCTTATTCCTCTCCTCCAATGAACCTCACCTCTGCTATGAACTTACATTTTACATGCATCATGTATTTTAACACAATGGTGTTAATCAGGCTACACCAAACACCACTACCAACATTTGACAGTGAAACTGAGGTAAGTTTAGGTAGTGTTCCCCAACTCACCCAGCGAAGCAGAGTAAAACACTGGTACTTGAAGCCACAGTCCCTGCCGCAGTGTTACCTTGCTCTAATTTTTGTGGTCCCTCCTCCAGAGCTTCCCTCTTTAGTTCCCAGAAACCTGATTTTCACATAGTTATACAGAAAATCATGACTGGTGATGAAAACTCACTGCATTGATTACAAAGCTCTGCCTGCCAGTAACAGGCCAGTTGATAATGGCAAGTGGTGGCCCTGATGGAGCTCTCACACGTGTGCTTATGATGTGTTGGGCTTCGGAGTCATCTCAATCGCATTTTGCAGTTCCTGAGCCCCAAGGCACAAAATACACAGATTTTTTCTGTTGGTTAGTCATTCCTAATATCCATATTACAGTACATATGCTAAGACAGAGTGAAAGACTGAAAAAAACCCAGCAAATAATAGAAATTTAAATATATACCGAAGGAGGTTGATCTGTCCTGAAGTGAAATCAAACTGCAATCTAAACACAGCTGGTTTTCAATTTCAGAAGTAAAATATTTTTAATTTCACTTTCTATAAAATTGTCATCAAGGTCCCTCCTCCAAGGGCAAAGAGGATTACTAAGAAGAGGGGCACCTAACGGCTTTAATCTGGTGCTAGCACAATATATTTATTAAACAATTGTAACTACAAATCACAGCTCTGTAGCTGGTGAAACCTTCGTTCCAAAGGGCTGGAGCTTCTAGAACTAATGACCATGAAAGACTAAGGTGTGCATGTGGACAGTGCTTCCATGCATTTCCTGTAGACAGAAGATTACAAAGGGTGTAAGTTAAAGCATTTGCATAAGTGTGGTGCGAAGATAAAATGGATTGTGCACAAAATAATATTCCTTTCTATTATACATGATCAGGCTCTCATATCATTTAGCAGAAAAGAGAAGGAAAAAAAAAAAAAAGATGCTTCTCTTCCAGAAAGTCTTGAGTTTTCCCATTCAAGAGTGAGCTGTGATGCATGCATCATTAATTTCTATGCAGAAAACATTGTTCACTTCAACCAGCAATTAGTGGTAACATTTCTATCCTGTGCAGTGATGAGATTTTTATGCTAATCATTACACAGCAGTAAATTAATCATTTGGGCACATTTAGATGGTATGTATATTTCATGAGACAGATATAGATATCAAGATCAGTTTGATATTTACTCATGGTAAATGGAAGTGTCTCAAATCGTTATGGGGGAAGCATACTAACTAAATATATAGCCAGAGATATTTGCAGTGTAGCAGCACCAGAAGCACTGCTTCATCTCTTCTTCCAGGAAATAGGTCTCTTTTTGTTTTTAATTATTTTAAGGGAGGTAAAAATCTTGTGGGATCAGACAGAACTGCATCATTCAAAGAGACAGCAAAACTCCAAGAATGTCTTGACACATGAAGGACAAAAGCACCAACTCAGTTTCCTATCCTGCAATTCTTTTATTACTGGCAAAATTACCTATGTTACATTATGCAGTATTGAAAAGAGACTTTTCAGCGGCATTTGTGCTATACTCTAGTCGGGTAAATGAATTATGTATTGGCCTCGGCCTTCTGTAACTATGTCTGAAAGCTTTGAGTTGTAGCAGAAAGGAAGGCTACCCAGGGGGCTCCCTTCTTCTCAGCAGATGCAAGAGATTTGTAATACCTTGAGGAAAATGTTTATTTGAAATTTAAATTTTTGACATACATTTAAATATTACCGCTGTTTTTTCAACTCTCAGCTCACAGATCTTTGCAGGCAAAAAGCAATCTAGTCCAAAGCTGATAGTGGTTTATTTTATCAGAGGGAAATGTACACCTGGTCTCTGTATCTTAGAACGTTGTCAAAATACTTAAGAAAACCACAGATTTATGGCAGCTGACCCTGACAGTAATAGTGATATAAATAATATCCTCATCTATTACTTTCTCAGCTGAAGTTGAGAAAGATTCTCAAAGATCGAAGGCGGCATGCCAGTGGAAAGCAAAGTTATGCTGGCTCACCTGGATTACTTCAGAACTGCTCTTGAACTGAAAATTGACCAACCAATATATATTTAATTGCCAGCAACTGAAAAAGCATAATTGCTATACTGAGCGGGGATAAAGATGAGATATTGCACAGAAGGTATAAAATCCCACTGGGAAAGGAAAGAAATTTATTAGCATCTCTTCATTTATAGAAATTTTTCGAGAGAGGTACATCCAAACAGGCAGGTTATTAGGACAGCACTATGAACAGCTGAACTGTCAGCTCTAAGAACCATTACAGATAGATAGAAAAAGAAGGGGTGAATCAAAAAGGCAATGTCTTATTTCAATGAAACCTGGTTTCACATGTAAAAAAATCTGGTTTTCAATTTGAGAATATTTTTAATTCCACTCTTTCTATAAAAAGAAGATAGCAATTTTGATTTTTGAACATTTTCTTAAAATCCACTCTGCCAAGCTTCTCTTTAGAACTGTACGTGAAGTTAACATAAAGTTTAAATTTACTTTGGGGGGCATCAAGGTCTTAATTTTTATGGCCTATCTTTTTATGGCCTAGAAAGCACACCTTGGGATATGCTGTGGATGCACGCGCATACCACAGCATACTTCTCCTCTGCAGAGAGTGTTCTTGATTCCAGGGATTCTCCATTTGACTTCAGCCAATGGAGAAAAACACAAATAAATCCCGTTTCCAAGTGAGAAGAGGTTAAGATTTGTAACAATAAATGGAACTTCACAGAGAACCCTTCTGAATCTCTGATGTACAAAGTGGCATACCTTGAGGGAAGAAGATGTGGAACGTAGTTCAGGAAGCAGTCAGTAATATTCTGTGAAAGTCAAGAGTCTGGATTTAAAGACAGCTGAGGATCTGTCAGGTTGAGCACCACCAGCTATGCTCTTGTCAAGCAAATCAGAAAAAAGAACCATAGGCATCATGCCTTGAAAGTAGAGGAAGTTTTTGCTAACTTTATTTCAATACTGTTTCTTTAAAAAGAAAAAGCAGAGCATCTCCAGGCAGCTTTTATGTTTCTGAAATGATTTGGAGGGAAAATTGAAATATTTAATAAATTTGATGTAAAACCGCTATTATCATGGTAAACAGATATCATGGTTATTAATTCTATAAAAATGAATGGCTCATCACTCAGTTCTTGCTCAGCTGCAGAACTGATTAACAGCACCAGGGACTGCCTGCCATTTGGTTTAATACTCCGTGTTGTTTGTTACGTTAGTTGTTTGGTGTTGATTATATTGCAGCAGTTATTCACATCAGTAAAATTTAAAAGCACAAACAAGGATCATGTCACAAAGAAATGAGCGGAAATCATATTCCCCAGCACCAGTTAGATCTTCTCTACAGATACCCCTGAAACTCATCTGAATATTCATAATCTTTGAGCAGGGAAAAAACCCAAACCCAAAACCCAACAAAGTATACAAGAATCAAATTCCCAGATTAATTCCTCCATCCAAGCACGCAGGTACCAGCATCCTCTTGGCTGGCTTCCAGGAGGGGAGGGCATCCCCACAAGAGGGGTGGCTGGGAATGGCTTCAGCAGCCTGAATCGAAACCTGCTCCTACACTTCGTTTGGGTATCAGCTGGCAGGTAGTGAAGATCACAAATCACAGCTGTGATGCCATTTCGGAAACATCATGGCATTTCAGAGAAAAACTACCATACAAAACTCCCTGCATGTCACCATGGTGAGTCTTCCATTAGAAAGAAAAGGACACACACAGTGTTCCATGGGGAGGTGCCTGAAGAAACACAGGAGATCTGGGAGACCTGTGGTTGGCTTCCTATGCTCTATGTCCTGATTTATCTGAGTCTTGCATGAAGCAATCTTTAGTAAGATTTAACAGAGGGAGCTGGACGAACTATTAAAAGCCCTGTTATTTTAGCATTTTGACCATTATTTGACCATTTTACCATATATTACCATTAAACCAGCCAAGATTAATTTGTCCTATAACCTGAAAACCATATAGAAGCTACAGTATTATCTTAAGAGAGTAAAAAGAAATGGCTGTTTCATTAATAGTACATCATTCTAATGCACAAAATGAAAGACAGAAAACAAACTCATAAACGTGTATACTAACTCAATACATTAATTATTCTGATGCAACAAATTTATTTGGTATATTTTTCCTGCTGCACAGGATCACTTTGCATACAAATGGCTATTATATCATATTCAAAGAGGTGTCACATCTTCATCAGAAATTTTAAAAGTACTTAAAAGAAGAAATTTTAAGTGAAAATCACAAATGGAAGACATCAAAACAGCATAAAGAAACAGGAATGTGTAAAAGAGTGTGTGCTTTGAGGAAAACAGGCATAATAATGCACAAAATCAGGGTGAAAAATGGAATTTCCCACAGCTGTAGACCACGTGCATTAGGGGACTCACAATCTTTACAGAAGAACAGAAATCTTCTTTCTTGCTGTTTTATTACCTTGGCAACATCTCCTCCATGTCAGCAATTACATAGGAGACAACAGTCCAAACAGCAGCACAGAGATTCATCTGGTTTGGATCCTGAACTGTCATCGTATCCCCTTGAGAATGATGAAACCAGAAGTATTTACTGAGGTCATCACGCAAGCTGGCACCTACAGAGAAAAATGGGCAATATTCCATTATAGAAATACAAATATTTAAACAGGAATATAAATTTGAATCCATTCCTGGGCTGTTTGTGATTAAATCCACATGTAACTGTATAATGTTCCATAAAATAACTGCACAGAGCCGTGGAATGTGCAGTTTGTAGGTTTTAGGTTAATTGACTTGAGTGAGCATGAGGCAGCAAAAATTCACACAGGGGAAAAGCCGACCTGCCCCTGCGAGACTTGTTTCCTCAGCAACAGTACACATCCATTTTCCTCTCAGACTACCAGAGTCCAAGCAGAGAAATCCCTACAGTAACCCCACATGTGGTGGTGCTTCCTCTGTTCTTCATCCTACTGCTCCGATGATGAGTTACGACTAGGCTGTGGATCCTTCCCTTGGTGTTATTTGTGTTGGGGAAAGCTTTCAAATTTGCTTCTGCTTTTGAGCCTCTGTTCGTCACAAGGACGTGCTGTTTCAGACCAGTTTTCCAGATAACCTGGAGTAACCCAGATAGCCCAGGACTACATTACCCTCGCTGTCAGGAGTCCTCATCAACTGGGGCAGAAGCAAGTTGGGTGAAACAATAGTTCTTCCCATTCAGGAACAACTGACACCCTTTGGGGACACTCGGGCAGGGAAAGGACTACTCTTCCCCCAGCCAGGTGGGCTCAGGGTGCACCAACAATGCTGGTGAGGCATCACCCAAGGCCCCAAGGCAGAGCAAAGCCAAGAGGAGCAGGAGAAGCTGCTGCCCCACTGGGCGCTGCAGCAGAGACACCAGTGAGGTATTTTCACTCTGGCCATTCTCCACCTGGTCCTTTCCCCACCTACCATCTCTGACTCCCCGTCCCCTTGCAACTTCTTCTCTCCCAGTTCATTACCTCTGCCTCTTCTTCTCTGCTTTTATCAGCCTCCCTCTGCTTTGGTTTAATCTCAAGAACCCTCTCATCATAACAGAACTCCACCTCAAATTTTGAGAATAAGTAAACATGATGTTTTCCTCCACCACACTGATTCACCGCTTGCAATTCCATTGCATTGATTCCCTCAGTTTGCCCACTGACTGGGGCTAGGAGGTGCACAGCTCCCCCCTAGCACAACAGGACCCCCTCCTCGCATGGTCACCCAACCCAGAGAACAAGCACTGATGTGAATTCATGAGTAAGAGCTGTGGGCCCCAGGTGGAAACACAGACTGAGGCTACTCCTACCATGCCAAGTAAGACAGAAAAAAACCAGGATTGTTTGATTATAAAGATGAAGTAAATAAATTATTCATATATTTATTTACACACAATGGAAATCACTATCAGATGATGAGGGCTTTGATAAACTCATGTGTGCTCTTAAGACTTACTGTTATGATTTATCCTGGTTTCCCTGAGATGCCTTTGAAGATTCTCACAGCATAACTGTACCTTCCTGTAATATGTATCTTTTGATCACTTGCATAGCCATTCCGGACAGAGTCCAGCTCTCACTGTGGTTAACAGGCATGTTTCTATTGCTGTAATGGGAACTGACTTGGACTGCTTCTTTCCCTGCTACTTTAGACAGAAGAAAAAGAAAGGTAATGCATTTTATAATTCCATTCAAGATGAAGATCCCTTCATGAGAGAGATGATACGCGGAAAGACCAAATGCTATAGCATATGGTTATACAGCATTATGATTGATTTTATTTTAAGAGGCTCTTAAAGAGGCTTGTTTGCTACTAACTTGAAGCAATGCAATCCCACAGAAGTCACTGGGTAGGTTACAGGTGCTGAATTATGTTCCAATAATTTTAGCATTGAATTTATGTCAACTCATATCCACCTTTAAAATTTGATTCTGAATTCTTTTAAATATATACAACCGTAAAAGGGCTGAACTATGATAAATTCTTCAACTGATGGACTTCAGCACTACAGACACATTACAAGTTAAGCCACTGAGGCAAAGGTGTTACAATTTTTGAACACTTTTATAAGACTCAAGGCAAAAATTGGTTGCCTGGAATTTGCCATAGGCATTTCACTAATAACAGTAACTATGGATTTGATTTACAGAGTAGCGTTTTATCTCTGTGAATGGAACAAGGATAAACATCCTTTGCTTTGTAATGTTTAACTCCCTGAAATGCTGAAATCTAAATTGATGGTAAAAATCAGAAAATGATCTGACTTTGGCATCAAGCAATTACTGCACAAGAAAAATCAGAGTATGTGAGTATAGAGAATATTGAAGGGTTCCTAAACTGGCCGTGCTGTCTCTTTCATGGCTTGGGCAAGCATTGAAGTCAGTGACCTGTAAACACCTTGTGAGACTAAGGAAAGGACCCTAAGAAAGCAGTTTTATCCTACCTAATTCAAAAAAAAAGTGAAAATCCATGTTCTTGGCTTTGAGCACAACAACAATTTACAGCCGTGGGCCCCACGCAAGCCTCTAGACATGAAACACCCTGGGGCACAGCTATGACTGCAGGCAATTTTCATGTCTGCTGTCCCCCCTGCCTCAAACTCGAGACTCCTCCATGTTGATGTGAGCTGCCCAGAGATATTTATGGCTTCCAGAGGTCGCCAGGCTGCGGCAAGACACTGAATCAGCACCCTTTTGCCAGCAAATACATCCAGGAATGAGATCAGCCCCTGCAGGTGGCCACGAAGAGGGAAGTTCTGCGGGGCTCCGTGGACTGCAGTCATGTTGGGTTACCTAAATAAAGTCCATGGGATCCTACAGCCCCTTTTCTAAAAAACTAACAGAAGCAGCAATGCTGTGAGCACAAAGAGCCATCCTACAGAAGGCAGGGGTAGGGAGAGAACAAATCTGCGTAACCCTTCAAACAGTGAGGTTTCAAAGTATGTCAGCTGGCTGACCAAACTGGATCCTCGATAGGCACTGTATTATTAACCCTTCTGCAACAAAATTTGCCTGGAAGTCAAACATGCCACTTCCAAAAACTTGAAAGAAACTGGAAAAATTCACCTAGGCACAAGTTTTAAAACTCCAATTGCTAACCATTTTGTTCTGTCACCTAAAATTGATCTAAGGGGGTTATTTTGTTGTTATTATGTAATGCTTTCCTCAGGAACAGCAGCCACTAACAAATGGAGGTTTATTTTTGCCAGCTACATAAGCCAGCAGTCAAGTAAAACAGATGAGTAGCCATGTCTTGTAGATCTGCTATAAATTATTCACTCATCTCCATGCTAGCCACCTAGAAATGGGACAGTATACAGCCTTACAAGAGTCTGAAAGGTCTAATTAAGTACTTAAAAATCTTCAGATGGGAAGTGTTATGTAGATATGTATCACCTATTTAATTCTGATTTTTAGGTGGAACAAAACAGAAAAACAAGGGAGAGGCTGGGTGCTCCACCATCATGTTTTATGTGCTTTGCTGCTCTCCTGTGCTTGCAGAGCAAGAACACCCATAAAGAAAAAAGAGGCGTTTGCCAAATAACCCTCTTTCATTGTCCATTTTCAGTCTGTTCACATTTACAGTGATGCGAATCACATGAGGAACACTGCTGGCCGATAAGGAATTCAGTGAGAAACTGCTTCTAGCTGGATGTAAGTAGATGTCGTGGCATGGAAACAGGGAATGTTAAAAACCACTGCCAAAAATGCTGTACTTATTATTCGAATGCATCAAAAATACTGGAAATTAAAAACTGAAAATAATTAATAATTTACAGCTTCAATAAGATAACATACAGATAATTCATCATGCCATTACAAAGAAGCAAGAAACCCTCTTTAGTTCAGTTACCTAATGGACCCTATTTAGTGCCACTTGTGATCCCTCAGGTGCCTGGTGGGACCTGATGGAGAAGATATATCTCATGTCCAGAGCAGCTGCTGGGGCCAGGCAGTCTGCTATTCAATAGCATGACGGGTGTGCTTTGGGATCTCAAAGCAGGGTTCTCCTTGTCGCAGCGAGGCACCACCTTACCTGCCATTTGTGGGGAATCATTGCATAAGCAGGGCGAGAGGCCAACACTCAGTAATGCCTCTAACTTCTCAGGTTGGGCTTTCTGGTTTCTTTGTTGTGGCCATTGTGGGGTTTTATTTTGTTTTGTTTTTCTGCTTTCGACTCCTCCTGAGACTGCTTCCCTATACTTGACCTTTTAGTGAGTCTGTACACTGAGCAGGCTGCAGATGAAACCAGTTTGTCCTCAGGTCAGAGAGCAGGGCAGCACTTGCCAACAGATCAACTTACTCCATAAACGTAGTAATTTTAAAAATATGCACAACCAGCATATGCTCTTTTGTGACCAAATGCCTTGAAATCCCAAATTGCACTGGGGGGCTTGGGGTGATACTGGTGTCATCTGAGCTGACAAAATCATTAATCACAGGGGTACCTTTAGCACAGCGGGCAGGTGTCCTGTGAGCAAATCCAGCTCCTACAAAATGTATTGATCCTGATTCAAATATAAATACTATTTATCCCTTCTCCAAGTGCTTCACCTTCTTTTAAGACTTGCCATCTTCCAAGCTTTGCCACCAAGCACAAGCGTTTCTTTGTGAATTGGTTCAGCATCATACAGTTGTGAAAAAAATAATGCAATGGTATAAAACTGCAGCAAAGCAGTCCATTGCTTTTTGCTTTGTTAATGTGAATTACGGTCCCTGTTACCAGAAGCAACAACCAAACAAAACAACTGCTGTCTGTCCACCTTTTGCGCCTACTGTTGCCAGCCCTCTCCATTTGTCTCCATTTGTGCCATCAAGACCTTGTTTCCTAGCCCCAGATGGTGGCTACCTCATGGAGCCGGAGGCACACCTTCTGTGCCACTGCACCGGGGGCACCATCTCCAGAAATGGCATCTCTCCATCTACCCATCTGGAGCTCCTTACTGGCGTCCACCACAGGGCCACTAAGATGATTAAGGGACTGGAGCACCTTTCATATGAAGAAAGGCTGAGAGAGCTGGGGCCGTTCAGCCAGGAGAAGAGAAGGCTCAGGAGGTGTCTTATCCATGTGTATAAGTACCAGATAGGAGGGAATGAAG